GGTCACTGAACGGTTGCCAACCTCGGCAATGATTGAATTTAAACATTTGACTCTAGCAGACGACACTTACGCCGTTCCTGGAAACATAGACATGCTCATTGGAGCATCGCTTTTCCCTCATCTTTTGCTAAACAATAAGGTCAGGGGCAACTCCTCGCATACCGCGCCTTACGCACTGGAAACCGTATTGGGCTATGTCATCGTTGGCTCCGCCCCCATCATAGATAGTATTTCGGCAACCTCTTATTGTGGTATGGCTGTCGAACCGCTCGAGTCGTTAGTCCGCAAATTTTGGGAGATGGAGGAGGTGAACGTCCCACCCATAGCTAGCTCAGATGACAGATTATGCGAGAAAATTTACGTCCGCACGACCGTTCGTGATCGCGACGTAGATATAGTGTAGCGCTACCCTTTAAAGGAGATGTTTTATCTCTCGGCGATTCGCGTCAAATGGCGGAAAAACGTTTCTACAGCTTGGAGCGTAGGATGCTCGCTTCACCCCAGTTAAAAGAAGCTTATGACTGCGTCATTAACGAATATATAAGGGAAGGTTATATATAACTCGTGGCTTCGAAATTAGATAACTACGAAGACACACCGTCGTATTTCATACCACACCACGGGGTCATTAGGGAGGACAAACTTACATCTAAGTTACGTGTAGTGCTCGACGCTAGTGCTAAAACTAGCACTCACCTGTCGCTTAACGATATCCTCTATAGTGGGCAAAATTTACAGGGCAGTTTATTTAATATAATAGCCAATTTTCGTTTGTTTAGTATAGCACTATCCGCCGATATTCGCCAAATGTTTCTTTGCATAGGGGTCCGTGAATGCGACCGTAGATTCCAACGCATTTTATATCGTTTCAACCCAAAGGAACCTCTAATGGTGTTTGAATTTAACCGCGTTTGTTTTGGTTTAAAGTCGAGCCCATTTCATGCGTAACGCACGGTGAGACAGCTCGCTCACGATAAAGGTCCCTCTTATCCTAAAGCTAAGAGGGCAATTGAAAGTGGATTATATATGGATGATTTTGTGTACTCGGTCGATAGCGTGGAGGAGGCCACCCTAACCACCACCGAGGTTATAAAGCTCATGAAATCGGGTCAATTCGATCTTGTCAAGTGGACTAGTAATTCGCGTCCGGTTTTAGACACAATCCCATTATCACACCGTCTTTCGGCGATAAAGGAATTCGACGATTCTGATACACACAAGGTGCTCGGTCTGTGTTGGTCACCAGAGTCCGACGTGTTTAGCCTTTTTTTTTACCTGGGGAAATGCCCACGCATACCCGCCTCGCGCGGGCAAGGACGGGTTATGTCGGACTTGCACCGACTAAAACCCCATGGTGTTCCACCTTCGTCGCATATTGGCAGGGCTACGGGAACGCTTTCGCACACATCTGCGGCCCCACCAGCGACTGCTGCCCCATGGCAGCACCTCATCGGGAGAGGAATATTCCTCCCCGTTCTCCTTCCCAAGTAAGGCGCACCAGAACACATGGCACGCCTTCCTCCACGGCCTCCAATTACATCTACGCAACAGACGCCCCCGCGTCCGATGCGCGAAGGCCATGGGCCCAGGAAAAACGAGCACTTAAAAGTACTAGCCTTCCCGACCCCATCTATGGCTCCGCTGCCAACCAAGATTCGGCTGCGGAGGATAGGGAGAGCGGCGCCTCGCAATACCGACAATCCTCTCCCCCCGCAGCCCCATCACCACCGCATCAACGGTGCGGCCCCGTTTGAGTCGCGGAGGATAGGGCGAGTGGCGCATCGCCATACCAACACTCCTCTTCCTCCGCGACTCCACCTCGGCTGCAGCGGTAGGTGGGGAGGACACACCTCTCACCGCAGTCCACCAACACACATCCGAAGTGGGCTTCCCAAGCCCACTCGGAGGGCCACCTCGGGCCGGCCCTCCACCTCGGACCAGCCATATGGGTTCCTCTTTGTTTCGCCGTGGGTGACCAAGCCACGGCTTCTAAGCCCCCCCGCCACGACAAGGCGGGAACCCGTTCGGGGGGGGACGTGTTTAGCCTTAAGGTAAATCCGCCCGTAGAGAAGTGCACAAAGCGCACAATACTGTCATGCGTTGCTAGATTATGGGACGTCATGGGTTTCGTAGCTCCGGTGGTATTATACGCTAAGCTTTTGATTAAACAACTTTGGTTATTTGAATGCGACTGGGATGACTCGCCGCCTGACAGCATTGTTCGGTTGTGGCAGCGTTTTAGAGAGGAACTTCCTTTACTAAGAGAAATTAAAATACCGCGTCATATAAACGTCGATAGAAATAGCGTCATCACGGTCGTTGGGTTTGCAGACGCCAGCGAGAAGGCTTACGGGGGCGTTGTATATTTTCACGTTTCCACATGGTAGAAATTCGATTAGCCTCATTAGTTCTAAGTCGAGAGTCTCCCCCCGTAAGGTTGTCTCTCTGGCGCGCTTAGAGCTTTGCGCAATATTAGTACTCACCAAGCTTATTACCGCAGTTATCAGCGCATGTAGGGATAGAGTTCACATAGAAAGGATATTTGCCTTTTCCGACTCCACCGTCGCCTTATGCTGGGTTCATTCTTCACCCCACCGTTGGGATACGTTTGTCGCGAACCGAGTGGCCAAGATCCAAGACGAGTTAGAAACGCGGAACTTTTATCACGTGGCCGGTACGGAAAACCCTGCCGATTGTCTATCCCGTGGACTCACCCCGATGCAAATAATGGACCACCCGCTTTGGTTCCACGGACCTTCTTGGGTTCACTTGGATCCCTCGCAATGGCCAATAACCGATTTCGAACCTTCGTCAGTGTCACAACCGCCGGAAGAGAAGAGACACGCTCTAGTGGCGAACGTTTCGAGCGAGGTTTCTCCAATCATTGCTTTGGCGAACCGCTTGTCCTCTTGGTCGAAATTATTGCGTAGCGTAATTTACGTTTGTCGATTCGCGAAGCTTTTACCGCGACGTTCGTATGTCTTAGCGTCCGATTACAACTATGCCGAGTCGCTAGTATTGCGTGAACTTCAACGTGCGCATTTCTCTGAAGAAATTACAAGATTACAATCGAATAGAGCTTGTAGTCGCGCCTTTCAACGCCTTAAGCCATTTTTACAGGATGGGATTGTAAGGGTAGGTGGACGCTTGTCCAACTCGCAGCTGAGTTTTCGACCAACGGCACTCTATAGTTTTACCGCGTAAAGACCATATCATGAATTTATTAGTCGATTACCATCATAAATTGAACTCGCACGCTGGCCCCGACTTGCTGATGTCGATCTTGCGTCAGAATTATTGGATTCTTTCTGCACGTAGTTTAATCCGCAATCGGGTGCACATATGTATAGCTTGCTTTCGTGCACGCCCCAAGCCATCAATTTAGCGACTTATTATATACAACATCCTCTTTTTTAAACAGTATGACATGATAACCCAGCCAACATTGAAACAGAACGAGCTGGTATTCCCCCGTAGAGAATAAATTCAATCCGGAATATAATCTGTAGCTCTCGGTAATTCCCCGCGCTACATTTCAGTCTTGGATAACGTAGGACAATAATTCTCTTTGACACGTAAGTAATAGAGTTTAATTTTGGTAAACAATAGTTCACAGGTCACAGGGAATCCCCGCGTCTTTCTATGTGTGAGATTAGCTCTGATTTATTTTTAATGTATGAAAGAAAGTCTCAGTTCTCATTTGTCTGTCATCAGGTTCAATTGACCTAGTCGATACTTTTTTTGTTTAGTGACTGATGTGTAATTTTGAACACTGCTTCGCTGGAGAGATTTCATTTAGTGTATGAACGTATGGAACCACAACAAATATGTAAGTACTGGAATAAAATCTGTTATTTTATTTATTTTTCAAACGGTGAGACTGAGTATAAATTGTGATATGATTGTTTTATTATTGAATCTAACTAATGTGGCAAAGGTATAAACGTTTGCGTGCGAGTTGCGAGGTTTTAAGCTTTTAAGTCGCACGTTTGTATGTTAGTTTTGTCCGCGCGTATCTCAAAACATATCATTTCGTTCGACGATAATTAAATATATAGGCTAGCACCGACGTAAAAAAAATAGTTGGCATCTTTATTATCTCCCTTACACTTATCTATTAATAAATTAAAGTTTTGAAGGCGGTTTATTTTATAAAAATATTTTTATTTTTGTTTGTTTGTCCTTTTTCCACGTCAAAGCGGAGCGGGACTAGAGTGTGCTATATCAAATATTACCTACATACTTACTTACTATTTAGTTGTTAATTAAATTGTTTTACCTAATTGTTTTAGGTCGTTAACAAAGAATACAGTTTTCAAGGAGTTCTTAAACAAACGGACAACATCTTAAATCTGGGAACATTTTCTAAGGGCCGATAATGGACAAACCGTCGAGTGTAAACTCTGTAAAAAAGTTCTAAAAACGCCTGGTAGTGCAACTGGAGCATTACATACTCACTTGCGGGCCAAACATATATCACTGAAGTGCCACGAGCGAGTACTTCAACATCAGAGTCCGATAGTGCTCAAATTCAAGAAAAAAGGAAGGGCGCCCCGGCCCCACATGAAGCACCCCAAAAGAAAATTAAACTCACGGATTATTATGTAAGCGACTCTTCTATGGAGTTAAGAGTGACTAGAATGGCAGCATCGGATGGTATCCCGTTTAGCAAATTTTCTGAATCAAATCAATGAATGAATCAAATCAAATCTTCTGAAGACCTAAGGCAGGATTTCAAAAAATCCGGCTATGATCTACCGAAATCGCCAACAACTATAACCTGGATAGTTTTAGAGCTACATGATAATACACTGATACGTCTTTTAAAGGAAATGAAGTCCCGAAAGACTTACAATGACATTTGATGAGTGGACCTCTACCCGAAATAAAAGATATATGAATATAAATATCCACAGTAACTGAGTATAAATATCCACAGCAACTTCGGCCTCGAAGACATAGTTGCTTTCACAACAGACGGAGCCAGCGTATTGGTTAAAATGGGCAAAAATTTTGACGGCCACCATCAATTGTGTTTCGCCCACGGCATACAACTTGCGGTTCTCGATGTGCTATATAAGTCAAAGAACCAGTCAACGCCCAATCCCAACCCAGAGCAACAAGATAAAGAACTGGATTACGACTCTGAAGATTCTGAAGAAAACTATGGAGGATTTGATATCGAAGTACCAAGAATTCCAGAATCTGAATTTCTGTACAAAGATACTATAAAAAAGTACGAGATTTGGTTAAATCTTTTAAAAAGTCACCCTTGAAAATGACTTGTTGCATAAATACTCTGTAGAAGAATGTGGAAAGGGCCTGGATCTTGTGCTCGACTGCAAGACTAGGTGGAACATCTTGTCGGATATGATTGGCAGATTTTTAAAATCAAAATCAAGTGTCATGAAGACATTACTGGATTTGAAATCAAATATAAATTTTACAGAAAAAGAAATCCAAGACCTGCACGATATTCATCATAGTTTAGATGTTATAAAAACAACTATGATGTCTTTGTGTCGCCGGGATTCAAACTTATTGACGGCAGATGCTGCTCTTCAGTTTATGTTAAATAAACTTGATCATCAGCACAACGAACTCAGTGAAAGGCTTGCTATTTCCCTTAGAAAAAGAATAAAAGAACGAGTGTATCTGGTATTTTACAGTATTTGCATAACAATGAACAATTTTACGAAACCATATCAACAGAAACCTTCACAAAACCGACGTCAGATTATATAAGGACATATATTACAAGATTATTAGAAAGGCTGAAAATGCTGAAACTAACAGCTAACACAACGTGTGCACAGACAGGTCAAAGTCCAATACAACAAATAAGCACAGGACATACTGACTCCAGTGACGAAGATTTAACTGTGGCCCAGGAATTAGAAAAAGAGATATGTAAAGCCACGTCACAGGTAAACAAATCTACGGTTAACACAGATCTTGAGTCCATTGTTAGAGTGGAAATGTGCATCTAAGATAGTGCTGGCGGTAGTCGTGGAGTTTACTTAACAGCAGCGTATAATTATTTACTATCAATTACATCAACAAGTGTTGAAGCTGAACGTGCTTTTTCTTCAGCTGGTTATCTATGTAGTAAATTAAGAAGTTCATTAAGCGATAAAAAACTAAACGCGTTGTCGTTTATGAGATCTCATTTTCAGGAAAAGTCAAATAAGTAAAAGAGCATTCTGTTCTGTTAAGGAAAAAGATTTCTTTATTTTGTTATAAATCTATCTAATCTAATTTATCTAATATCTTTGTGTTGTGATTTGAGATTAAGTTATATGATTGGTATTCAAT